CAGCATCAATTGTCCCAGTAAAGCAAAGGTTTTGCTTCAGGTTCTGGTCTCTTCTTAATCACAGCTGATTCTTCAGCCCCCGCCGACCAGAACCCATAGATTCTCAATCCAAAATCTCACATGTACAGCCCTGATAGCCTCCACTTCCCTTTGAAGCTTCACAGGCCAGGCCTCCATTGTCTACAACTCCCTCATCATAACTGTTCCAAGCTCCACTGCAACAAACTCTGAACACGCAATGGCTTTTCCAGCCCAAAGTTCCAAACACTTCCACAGTCCTCCCCAAAACTCCAAGGTCAAGTCTGTCACAGCAATACCCCACTCCTGGTACCAATTACCATCTTAGTTTGTTTCTCCATTGCTGTGACAAAACACTCTGACCAATACCAACTTGGGGAGGAAAGGGTTTATTCAGCTTACAACTCCCAGGTCGCAGTTCATCAGGGAGCCCAAGGTAGGAACTCAGGGTAGGAACCTGGAGTCAGGAGCTGGAACGCAGGCTATGGAGGATCACTGCTTACTGGCTTGCTCCCTGGACCCTGCTCAGCCTGCTTTCTTATGCAAGACAGGCCCACCTGCCCAGGGGTGGCACCACCCACAGTGGGCTGGGCCCTCCTACATCATTCAACAATCAAGAAAATGCCCCACAGTCATGGCCACAGGCTAGTCCAATGGAGGCCATTCCCCAATTGAGGCTCCCTCAACCCAGGTGTGTCAAGTTGACACTAAAGCTATCCAGCACATAGGCCAAGCATGATGATGTGTGTCTATAGTGCTGGGCAGAGTGGAGACAGGCAGATCCTAGGGGTTTTCCAACAGTCAGATCTAGATGAAACACAGAGCTCCAGGTTTAGTGACAGATGACCTGAAAAGTTAAGGTGGAAAGGATAGTGGCACGGCTCAGCAGAGGAAGGTACTTACTACACGAGCCTGATGACATGAATTCGATTCCTGAAACACATAAACATGAAGGAGAGAACCAACTCCACAAAGTTGTCTTCTGACCTCCACATGCTGCATGCTATGGTGCATACACCCTCTCCCATCAAGTACACACACACACACACACACACACACACACACACACACAATCACACTAGTATTTATTTTTTTATTAAGGTGAAGAACAACAGACAAAAACATCCAACATTGACCTCTGGCTTTCACACACTCATGCATGTGTCCCTATACACACATGTGCACACACATCATACACAAAAACATGTAAACACAAAATAACAATAACAATATTTTTAAGAAAAAGTAAAAAGAAGCTGGCAACATGACTCAGCAGTTAAAGAGACTTGCAGCCAAACCTGACAACCTGTGTTCGATCCCCAGGACCAACATGATGGAAGAGAACTGACTCCTACAAGTTGTCCTTGGACTTCAAAATGCATACACACATGCACCCCCCCCCCCAGAGATAAATAAATAGGTAAAGAGACACATGTAAGAAAAGGGAAGACATTTCTTCCTGTGAGTTCCTTTAAATTAGGAAGAACCACTCCACCCAAACCTCACAGCAACTCATCTTCAGGCCCCATCGGTCAGGCCTGACTTTCCAAGCCTGCGCCACAACTATAAGGAGGCCAGGACAGAAGTAGCAATTTGGAGTTTATGAAATTGGAAATGCTTCTGTCAGTAACAGAGAAAATTAATAAAGATGACAGTATGTGTACTTGGCAAGAATGCTTTCAAGCAGACAACCCCAGCATCCACCAAGGGCTCTGGTAGTCACTCACTCAGGGTGAACCAAGCACAGAGCTAAGAGTCCACACCAATGAGAAAGACACACACTATCCCTGTCCTCATAAGGCTTATACTCTGGCACAGAACAGACACATTTAGCATGCACCTTCATAATTGAATACGGGTGGGTGATGAGAAGAGCTGCATGATCAGTGAGTAAATTAGCTACAAGCATAACACACTTCCTTATGGGAACATATTGAAATGAAAGATGAACTCACCGCTGTGAACACAAAAAGAAGTGCAAGATCTCTACTAAGTCCAAGAATCATCACTGAAAGTGACTTTTCCATTTGTGCAAGGGAGCAAATCCCCACATGGGGCAGACAGCAGTGCTCCCAGATTAGGAGAGTTCCTCTATCAAGGCCAGAGACCACTCACTGGGATTTATGACAGGCCTGTGAACTCTGATGATGGTCTGACTTTCTTCTATACAGCTCAATCTTCACAGAAGCTTTGGGTGGTTTGGGTCCTTGCCCAGGTGCCCTAGAAGCCAGATTGCAACCTTCCAGTTTCTAGAAAGTTCTGTCTGTCATCATAAAATGTTATTTGGATATAATTAATGTGAGATTGAACAGTCTAGGTCTGGATCCTCTGAATTGACCTGAAAATTGAGGAAACACATCTTCAAAGCTGAAAACACAGGCTGGGAACTCAAGGTGCGCACCACTCCTTGCACACACAGAATCCAAAGTCAGGCTCATCCTTGGCAGCACTCAAAACCCACCTTGTACATTCCTTTGATGATGGCTATTGCATCAGTTAACTGCTGCTGAAAGCTTTTTCTCATGCTGTCTTCAGCCTGAAAACCAAAAGTAAATACAGTAAGTACCACGGCACACTACCAAACACAACTCACGTCTCCTGGGAGAAGCTCATAGTAAAATTTTCCCATCCAAATCATCACCATCTCTTGAGAACTTCAATGTATAATCATCTCTCCTACACCACAGCTATTCTAACACACTTAATTTTTATTTGTGTTTAACCAAGAGCAGTATTGAGAACCTATGGATAAAATAAGTACATATGATTTAAATACATTTCATTTCACAGATCAGCTAAAGTCTTTTGGTGTATTCCTAGAACTGCTTTTAAAAGTAATAAAAATCAATTACAGTTCACATGTTCTTCGTACACTTTTGATGGGATATGTTCATGAAGGGAAACCGAGAATTGTTGGTCTGTGAACTATAATCATTTTCTGACTAGTCAAATAAATTTCATCATATCTATTTAGGGTAAAAATGAAATGCAGTGTATTTAAAAAAATGTTCCTGGTTCTCATATCTGATTCCAGCATGGTGTGTAACCAACAAATAGACTTTAGACTCAGAAAGGACTAAAAGGAAGTATTGTGCCCTTTATGGTCTGAACTCATATGTGATTAACCTTGGCAAACTCAATATCTGAATCTGTACTTCTGGGATAACAGGATTTCCATTTTAGGATTTCAAGAGATTTCAAGATGACACAAATGTATTTTAAATGCTTAGCAAAGAATTTACTATAGTGTGGTCACTAAAATAGGAGTTTTCTTCTTTTACAGCACAGAAATAACACCAATGCCTATTCTTTAATGACAGATAAGTATGCCCTGACCAAAGCTTTTAGGAACTTCCTTGAAGCAGTAGGTTTCATGGCTTTTATTAAAGCACAAAAACGATCATATAAAATCGTGGTCAACAAGGTTTCTGAGTAAGATGGCCTGGCCACTGACGCTCAGCTGAAAGAAAACAGTCAAGATAATACACAGTACGTTCTTATCCTTCAGAATACACAGTCTTCAGATGAATTTCTTAAGCTAGGGGAGATCTGCAGGAAAGTCCAGCCGCAAGCCCAGAGCCCAGCCACAAGCCCAGAGCCCAGCCACAAGCCCAGAGCCCAGCTACAAGCTGGAAACACCACACGACCCAGGGAGGTACAGTAGAAGCTGTTAAAGGAGACTGAGCCTGAAGAGGCCACAGTAAAAGTGCAGGGGCCTGAGGCAACTACCAGGAAACAACTTTCAACCTCCCTTCGGCACTCCCAGAGACCAGAGGCCAGAGGGACCTAAGAACTCCAGCTCAGCACAACTGTCAGCAAGTCACTCCGTAAATGTTCTCTGCTTCCTGTTGTCTATGACTGATTCTCCACTTTTTTCTATACATCTACTGATGGTTTTGCTTTTGTCCATATATTGCTCTTAGGGTTGAGGATTGCTGTGTTTCTCCGCCTAGTCATCCTTTCCTGAGCTTTCACTCACATCTTACACTTCTGTTCCTCCGTCTCTTCCTGTTTTCCTCATCTATATCTCCTCCTCTTTTTATTTGTTTATAACATTCCATAGCTCTAACAGTATCTAAAATCCCAAACCCTGAGAGTGTCCCACCCTCCCCTCCTGGCTACCTTTATCCACCTTGATTTGCTTTTTCTTTTCAAAGTTAATCTTATGCCCACCCCCATCCTCATCACCCCACTTCTATCCAATCTTAATCATATTAACTAAGATCCAAGTACATGCCACACTGCCCTTGATTGTTTATCTTCCAACAGCTATCGAAGTCCAATGATCCACTGTTGTTAATTGCCTACACAGCACCAGCATGGTGGTAATATTCAGCAGCTGGGGTTGTTTGGGCAGTTCATATTCTACCTAGGAAATAATATAGAGTTTGCATCAGGCATTCTGATCTCCTGTACAGCGGCACTATTTTCTGAACTATGCACCTCGCCTCTACCACACTCAAGTCCAACTTGATACTTCAACTGAAATAACTGATTTTAAGAAATCCAACCAACAAAATAACCCCAGAGATGTAAATCCTAATGTAGAAGTGTAAGAAACATGAGAAACCAAGGAAAGCTGACGCCTCCAAAAATTACGGATTACGCAGTAATGCCGTCTAGTCGAGAGTGAGCTGAATGAAACTCGTAGAGAGAACTCAAACACCAATTGTGCTCAAAGAAGAAAACAAACTCCTGATCAAGAGCACAGACAAGGGGCTAGAGAGACAGCTGAGTGGTGAAGAGCCCTTCCTGCCCTTCCAGAGGACTAACATGGTTCCCTGTATCCACATCAGGAGCTTACAACCACCTGTAACTCCAGCTCTAGGGAATCTGATGGCCTCTTCTGGCCTCTGAAGGCACCCACACATACATGGTATATATATAAATATAAATAAACCTTTGAAAGACTTGTTTTGGTCTTTTTGAGACTGGGTCTCCCTGTAGCACGAGCTGGCCTGGAACTAGCTATGTAGACCAGTCTGGCCTCAAACTCACAGAGACTCTCCTGTCTCTGCCTCCTGAGTGCTGGGATTAAAGGCTTGTGCCACCACGCCCGGCTTTGAAAGATTTTTTTAAAGTACACAAACAGCTGGATGAAATAAGGCAAATAAAAAACTGAGGCGGGGGGGGGCAATCTAAAATGTTGGAAATAAAAACTATAGTGAATCAAATAAGATACTCTGTGGAAGTTTGGCCAACAGAATGGATCAAGAAGACAGAATATGTGTGCTTAGGCCTGGAGAGATAGTTCAGCTCAACCGCTCTTTTTGAGGGGCCCCTAGCACATGAGGGCTCACAACTGCCTGCAACTCCAGTTCCAGGGGATCCAATGACCACCCTCTTCTGACCTCCGAGAATACCAAGCATTCACATGGTGCACATTCGTACATGCTGGCAAAATATGCATACATGTAAAATAAAAATAAATTTAAAAAATTATTTAATAACTACATACTTAGAAAAAGCATTTCATTACAGCAGCATTGACATATTCAATAACAATTTCTAGAGCTAAGATGCATCTCTTTCAAAATTGGCTATAAGTTTTTAGATTTACAGTTGAATTAATACAGTTATACAATATTGTACTCAGTATAAACCATTTAAGATATAAAATTAAATGAGGTTTTAACCTTTAAAAAAGATCTCCATTTCATTATTAAAATACAGAGTTTCATATAGAAAACTTCATTTTTAATACAATTGACATTAAGATGTTTGCACATGCATTTCTTATCTCTATATATCAGATTCCAGTTACTCTCTGAGTTCCTTGGCATCTGAGCATGGATATAAAGTCATAAGGTAGAGTTCAATGATAATGTTTTTCACATCTATTAATTATTAAGGAGCAAATTTTTATGCTTTGAAGAATGTTTTTATACACCCACTTCCTGGATAGCACCCTCCCATAGCCTCCCTCCCCCAACTAGAGCCCTTATACTCTGATATCCCTGCTACTATCTACTGTGTTGTCAGCACCCCCTACCCTTCCCCACTACTTGCCCTTCTGGTGAATCTAGTCACCCTATCTAGAGATCCTTGTTTTAGGAAGATCGCAGCAAAAAAAAAAATCTGAGCTTGAAGACAAGGTAGAGGAATGGGCCAAGTAAGGACAAAGATAAAAATAAGAAGATACCAGTGGAAATTGAAAGGTATCTGTGAGACTCTGAAAAGACCAAATCTCTGGGATACAGGCATTGAAGAGGAAGAATCTAGTTCTAAAGGCACAGAAAACATTTTAAAAAGAATCATAACAGAAAATTCCCTGAAGTTGGGTAAAGAGATGCCAGTTTAGATACAGGAGGCATTTAGAACACCAAACAGACAAGACAAGAAAATAACCACTCCTCATCATGTTATAATTAAAACACCAAATATATGGAGGAACTAAAGTATATATTGAAAACCTATCAAATATCAGCAGACTATTTAGCAGAAACCTTAAAGACCAGAAAGACTTGCAATGATGTGTTATTTCGGGTTCTGAACGACAACAGTTAACACAGTCACCACACCCAACAAAGTTATCTTTCATAACTGAAGGAAAAATAAAACTTTCCATGATAAAAAACAGACTAAAAGAACTTATAACTGCTGGGGCTGGTGAAATGGCTTAGTGGTTAAGAGCACTGGCTACTCTTGCAGAAGACCCAGGTTTGAATCCCAGCACCTACATCATGACTAACAACTGTTCATAACTCCAATTTCAGGGGACCAGACGCTCTCTTCTGTCCTCTATTAACACTGCAGGATATAGGTGCACTTACACATGCACAGGCATAACACTCATACACACAAAATAAAAATAAATTTAGAAAAATTTAAAAAGAACTTATAACCACAAAGCCAGCTCTACTGAAGATACTTTAAGGAATTCTTTAGACTGAAGTAAAACACCAAATCCATTCATGAGGCCACAGGAAAGAATAAACCATGCTAGACTAACAAAGAAAGAGAAGAAGAGGGAAAAACAAGATACTATAAAATCAATACAGTTTCAGGAATCAATATGCATCTTTCAATAATAACTCTGGCTACTAATGATCTCATTTTCTCAATAAAAAGGCACAGACTAGTAGATTGGATTAAAAAGCAAGAACCATCTATTTGTGGGCTCCAAGAAACAAGCCTCACCACAAAAGACTACCTTAGGGTGAAAGGATGGAAAAAGGTATTTCAAGCAAATGAACCTGTGAAACAAGTAAATGTCATTGTTCTAATATTTGACAAAACACTTCAGACCAAAATTAGTGAGAGAAGTAAAGAAAGACACTTCATACTGATTGGGGGAAAATCCATCAAGAGGACATTACGATATTAAGCATGTACAAATAAGGTATGCTCGGTTTCTTTAAAGAGTATTCGTAAATGTAAAGTAACAAACTAACCCTAGCACAAAGACCCTAGGTAGCGTCAATACTTCACTCTCACCAATTGACAGGCATTCCTGATAAAATAAAGAAATATACTAATTAAATTTTATCATATATCAAATGCACTTAACAGACTTCTGTAGAACATCCCATCAAA